CTTTCCAGTACTGTCTAATCAGATTTCTCCTGTTATGTGATTTGCCTAGTTAATTGTCCAGAACAAAGATGTATGCAATAGATTTCCTGCTTGTGCTTGGTGACCTAGAGTTGGTTATGGTCATTACACCTTGTTGTATAAGTCGCATTGCATCTAAATACTGAGTGTGAGGATATTATTTTTAGCATTCATTGTGTCAACATGGATGCTGAATAACCAGGTTTCAACTAGTTGGTTTTTTACCCACTGGCTAAATAAACTCGGCCCTGATTCTTTTAAAACTCATCGTATTTGCAGTGTTTCATAGAAGGCAAAGTAGCATATGATATAGGCTGAAGAGAAAGGACACATCGTACTCAGCACAATAATGCAATGGGGTACATGTCTCATTAAGGAATATGCATCTCATTAAAATGTTAACTCATTTAGAAGAAATAAACCAAAACTCTCTGTTCAGTTTACTTTCAAGTTTTCCCAAAGAGTATGTTGAAAGAGCCAGGGAAGGAAAGGAGGACAGCAAATTGAAGATGATGGTGCTGGGTCAGCTAAGTGTAGCTGGACATGAAAGAACTTATCCTGAGTCAGTCTATCTTGCTGATTCTTTTTGCATTGTACATTATTCCTGTTTAATTGAGCATAAGTATCAGCAAGCTCCCACTGTTTGTCAGCTCTGTGGAAATTGTGAGGAAAAGTAATCATAATAACAACACTGAAATGAGTTGATGCTTGCCAGGTACCCTCTAAAAACTATTCATTTGTTAAATAATTTAATCGTCATAGAGCCCTATGAAAAAAGAACTTGTTGTTAACTTCCTTCTACAACTAGAAGATTGAGTCAGAGAAAGATAAAAGGGCCTAGCTGACCAGGCAATAGACCTGGCCACTTCCCGGTGGGCTGTTTCCAGATCCCATGTTCTGAAATGCTATGATTCTCGTTGCTGGAATGCCCTGCCCTTTTCTTATCATAGCTCCTTGGAGAGCCTGGCTGAGTCATCACCTTCTCCAGGAGATTCACCTTCATGCCTCCCCTGTCAGAGATACCTTTGTACTTTGTACAGAACAGTTATTACTCATTGTACAGGGTGTCAGATGTGCACCTTTACATCTGTGTTTCCTTGCGGAGCCAATCCTAGTCCTCTCTGTATCCACACCTGGCATTGGGTGTAGCGCTTGGCACAGAGCAGCTGTTCAGTAAAATGAAATCCAGTTGCTTTGGCCTGACCTGAAGGCACAGTGCTTATCCTCAGGGAACCTTCAATGTATCAGGAAAAGAGATTCCATTTATATGAAAAGATTGAATAAGGAGGAAGTTGAAGCCACAAGGGTATGTGACAGACGACAGGTGTTAGAAGCTTTCACAGATGGGAAATTGGATGTGGGATTATGCTGGATTGGGTTGAGTTGATTTGGTTTGGATTGATTGGAGACTGTCTCTAGTTACATGAAATATGAAATGAGGATAGTAATAGCTGAAAGAAGAAAAGGAATAACATTGATACAAATGTTAATGGGAGGTAATGCTGAGTGAAATGCCTACGTTTTAGGAGGCAGCAGTCATATCAGAACAGGGAGGTGGAAAGATGCTCCACCTTGACACAGAACAGACCTCACTTAGCTGCTCTGCGAGGCCAATCCTGTTCTTCCCGGGACCTTCTTTCTGCATCGTCTTGTGCATACACAACTGTCACAAGACCACTTGGTCTTGTGCATTTTGTCCTATGTAACCAAGTTCCCTGCGGGAAAGGATTGTTTTGGGCCAATACCATGCATAATGCCTAACACATAATCATGGCAAAAATAATAAGAGTAGTAATAATTGACAATTACAGAAATATATAGTGTTTCTTATACTAGGCAAACACAAAAGAATGCTTTAAAAAGTTTGTGGAAAATGAACTTTAATAAATACTTCACATTTTCCAAGAACATTTATCTTACATAGTAAATAAAATTCATGTGGTCCTTATGGTCTAGCCATTATTTTGATTTCATCATCTTAACTCAACCTAGAGTGTTTGAAGCTTAACGTTTGTTGCTTTTTTTTGCATCTCTGTGATGGATGAACCATCTAGAAAGTCTTTAATTTTGTGGACTATATCTGAACATTATCTGCATCTGAATTCTGCAAGGCTGTCAATAGCCAATGCCAGAGAGTTTTGGGGATTCAGTTTTCTCAAGATGAGGAAAGTGGCAAAATGGCCCAGCCAGACAGCTGGCATTCAGGACAGACTACCAGTCAGTCCCAGAATGTAACAGCCGCACAGAGCTCTTTACTCCATGCTCAAGAGACTGAGCATGCTGCCCTCCTGTCCCTTCCACTTAGAGTGTTAAGTGCATCTGGCGGCTCCCTGCAGCCCCTGCCATCGGGGGATGAGTGGGAGAAGGAAGTCAGGAGCGGGCACAGACACATGCACACACACCACAACCATGGGATTACAAATCTGGAATCACTGTGCTTTTACTCGGTGGCCCCAGATCTCCCACACATCCGTGTACTTCCTCCAAATAGACTGACCTAGCATGGTGCAAGTAAAATAGCCTGACCAGTCTGATAAGCATTTCAGGCAGGCTCCAAAGATTTGTGAAATATTTTCTTCATCTGCTTCTACTTTCAAGAGCAAAGTGATTTTTTAAAAATGTTCAGGCTTAATTGAAAAAGCACAGAGCAATCAACTTTTATTCCCAGCTGGCAAAGAACCATCTTAACTGGTAGCCAAATTTGGGATGCCTGAAGACAGACAAATGACTAACACTATGGCTGTGTGTGGCCAGGAGCAAATGTCTTTTCTGACCACAAGACCATGTCTGGATGCTCCTTTGTAATTACCACACAGTCTACTGTAATTGTGAGACTCATATTTACTTCCTGGCTTTGACATGTTATTCAGGATCCAAAGCTGCACCCCACATGAACGTGAAGTTCTCTGTTATTTAACTGAAATCTGTACTTCCTTGATGCACTGGGATCTGCAGATGTGTGTTTGTGTTGCCACATCTGTTAAATGAATTCAGTCTCATCTAAAGAGGGCCCGGTCTTGCCTTGTTGGATGAAGCACCTTACTAATCAAATGTTTATTGAACACCTGCTATCGCTGCCAAAGGGCTGCTTTAGCTCCAGGAAATATCAATGAATAAGACAACACTCTTCTGTCCTAAATCAAAACACAGGGGAAGGAAGGAAGGCAGGCAGACACGAATGGTGCTTATGGATACATCCTGTACAGAGGGCAATATCAGAGGGATGAGATAAAGTCTTGTGGCATCTTTAGCTTAGGATATCAAAGGAGACCTCTGCAAGATGACATTTAAACTGACTTGTTAAAATGACAAGGAGCAGGCTGAACACCAAGTGAGAGAGGAACACTGTGGGCTGGTTCATGTAAAGTCCCATAGGCAGGAGGCAGAGAGGTCGGCACTTGATATGCACAGAGACTGAATGGAGAGGGTGGCCGGTCCAGGATCAGCCAAGGCCGTGGTGTGCAGCCGCTAGGTGAATGCAGAGCCCAGGACTGTGGCCCTTGCTGAAGCATGGTAGCACCAAGGGAGCTCCCACAGAGATCTGCCCTGGACCAGGTCTCTGGAGTTAGAACCCCAGTGAGCAAAATTTGTCCTGGGAGTAGATGTGAGGAATGAAGCAAAGGCAGTGATGGAGGATTCTCAACCTTGTACTTTGAGCAGAGAGGCAGGTGGTGACTGCGATGAGGGCGGCTGGAGGCAGTACCGTTTGGTTCCTCGCTAACAGTCACAGCTGGTGAACCATGAATCCATGACGGCTCAAGGTCTTCACTTCCTGGGTGTGGACACAGCCTTTGAGAAATACAACTGCAAGCATCTCCGTGGCTTCTCCCTCTCTTGGTGTTCATTGTATGCCACTCAAAAACAAAACAAAACCAAAGCGCATGCAAGTGCCCCAAGTCCTTCTCTGTTACACCTTCTGGGTGATCCGAATGTCAGTTCTCACCTAGGCTTCTCCCTTCAACCCTGCACCTGGCCACCCTGGGCCCATGCACCTGTGTCAGAGGTGTGGCTATCAGTCCATTGAACTATGACAGCCAGCATGTGTTCCTAATAATTTACTCCAAATTTAGCCTCATTGGCTTCCTTTTTAAATTTTATTTGAAAGAGTTACAGAGAGAAAGGGGAAAACCAAGAGTGATCTTGGTTTAGTCCCCAAATGACTGCAGTGGCTAGAGCTGGCCTGGTCCAAAACCAGGAGCGAAGGGCTTCTTCCAGGTCTCCCATTTGGATCCAAGGCCTTAGACCGTTCTCTGCTGCTTTCCCAGTCACCAAGCAGGGAATCAGATCTGGAAGTGATGCAGCTATTGCTTGCTTTTCTATAATCAGAAAATTTCATGAACTTTAATCAAGATCAAATTAATTTAACCTATTTTTTCATTATGGTAAGACTGATATTTTTCACATTTGCCTTAAAGGTATTATGGAACTTAAGTTTTCTTGTCTATAAAGCAAATAACAATATATTCATTCTTTATGGATATTTTGTTAGGATTAAATGAAATAATATGTATAAAGTCTGTCACAGTAGCTGCTATTTAAGAGTACTTCAAAAAATTCCTGGGGAATGTAGCAAAAATATAATTTTATTTTTGTGCAAAAAATTTAAAATACATTCTTATGAGAAGCATTCAAGAAGCTCATGACAAGCGTATAGTATGGTTTTCAATTGTTGTGTATTGAAATAAACAATTCATTTCTTCATGAACTTTTTGAAGTACATTTAGGTGGCATTCAATAGATTAGAAGTACTATTAATATTACTATTATTACTGAAAAAAGTAATTCATGGGCAGAGAGAGCTCTCAGACCCAATATTTTTATTTTAGTAGTCAAACAAACAAGTTGAAGAAAACAGGGCAACACTTTTATTGTTACAGTCCTTCAGGACTTTAACAAAACCTGTCATTTCCCTGGGTCTCAGTTTTCTCAGGTAAATGACTCGGGATGGATAACCTCGTTTTGAAAACGTGTGATTCTTGTAGATGGTGTGCATGTATCTCTCCAGTCATTTTACTGAACGTATCAGAGGGCATTGCCTTTGGACCAGCTAAATCAGTGTGAGTGATATTGCTTGCCAGTTATATGACCTTTTGTTAGCGCATTGTAGAGTCCCCACTTGAATATCACTTCCTATAAACAGAGCTTGGATGAGGAAATGTTCTGTCTCCCGAGAAGTGCAGCTATTGAGCGCCTTTCTCTTTTTAGTCTCTCGGTCTGTGGGCGATTACTCACTGCTGCCTGTCTTCCCCGGGCTCGCTTTTGCTGCCTTCTCCTGTCGTGACCACTGAGGCTGCTCCCACCTCCGATCTCCAAGTTCCCCACTCAGCCTTCCCCAGCACTTGGCCTTGCGTTTGAGCTCTGCTTTCTTGCTTCCTCTACCTTTGGAAATTTAAAAATAGAACCTAACAAGCAGACCCACAATCTTTCACATGGGCTGAACTCTGTTATTCATCTAACTGATTTTTCTGGTGAATTCCACGGTATGAAATCGAAGGTTAGGAGTCTACCATCAGTTTAGAATGAACCCTGGAAAGAACTGACAATCGCTTTTGCTTTGACTGTCAGCATACCACAGGAGGAGGCTTTGGAAGGTGAATGCAGGAGACACAAGGGCTGTCAGCTGGCACCTTGCTTTCTCTTTGTTGGTGGTTCTCCTCACTTTTCTGTTGTGATCCACCATTGAGTGGGTAAAAGGACTCTTAGGGCTCTAGCACTTACAGTGTGAATACCAAAGACAAGTCCTTGGAGGCATGACGGCCCATCACAGGTGTGAACACTGTTACTTACAAGGGCCCCACCTCAGATCACAGCAAACATAACATGGGAATGGCCACATTAAACACAGTTTGATTGCTGACAAGTTTTTGAAGCTACTTTTGGAGTTTTCCTTGTTAGGAGGTGGGCTGCAGTAAATGATTCTATTTGTGATTAGCTGTGAATTCTTAACAGTTAAATTAGTATACCTGGAAATGCTTATTACATTAGAAAATAAATCTAGGCAATATAGAGCTCCAAAATAAAATGCATTTGTGGACAAATCAAGAATTGATGAAATTCATCTAACATTACATTTGGGGGACCTTCAATATTTATTGGTTTCAATTCTGTGATTATTCTCTTGAGGCCAATGAATGATTTTCAAGGTCTCTGACATTTTCAGAAGTACCTGAAAAGCTGGAAGACCGTGGCCAATGTGCCTTAATGCCCAGTGATGGGAAATGAATGTTCTTCCTGGGAAGCCGTAAGCCTCGAGGTTTCATCCCTGCCTTCTGAGAATTGGTTGGGGTCACAGACGCAGCACTAATCCAGGAGCAGCAGGCGAACCCAAACAGAAAAGTAATTGGAGAGAGAATCCTGGCTTCAGCTCTTCAGTCAATGGATAGCCTTGAACAGGAGCTCCATTTTGTTTTCTTACTCCCAATGGTATTTTTACAGACAAACCCACCATCTGGCCTGGGTGGAGACCCAGAGCCATTAGTTCTATGGAACTGAAAATTTTGCAAACCATCTGAACCAGAGACAAGAGTTTCTCTCTTGGACAAAAAGAAATGCAATTCCTAAGTCCATATTATTTTGCCAAAAGGAAAGGTTGAGAGAATAAGGATAGAGGAAGAAAGGAGGACTGTGCCATCAATACTGGTATTTGAAAAAGACTGTTGGTCTGTGCAAATCACAGCGTCCCTTCTGTAAAAAGAGTGAATGACATTTGACAGTTGTTGGAGTGCCTGGTTCAAGTCCTGGCTCCAATCCAGCTTCCTGCTAATGAACATGTACTCTGAGAGGAAGCCATTGATGGCTCGACTATCTGAGTCCCTGACACCCACATGAGAGGCCTGCATTGACTTCTCAGAGTCCTGATTATTTTGGCTTGATCTAGCCCTGGCTTGCTGTTTCATGCATTTGAGGAGTGAGTCAGCTGATGGAAGGTATCTTTTTCTTTTTTAATATGTTTTATTTTGAAATCTGAATTATGTGGTACATTTTCATATAGGGTGGGATTCCCCCCGCCCAAACTCCCAGCCCCCATCAGATTTTCCCCATTTTACTACAGTTCTTCATAAGGAATCATAATTCTATTAGTCTGTTATTTAAGGTATCTGTCTTTTGACCTCTCACTCTGATTTTGAAGTAAAGTATATGTAAGTAATTTTTAAAAAATTTTAGGAGCCAGTGTTGTGGCACAAAAGAGTAAGCCATTGCCTATAATGCCAGCAGTCCTAGATGAGCACTGGTTCATGTCCCAGCTGCTCTACTTCCCATCCATCTTCCTGCTGAAAGCCTGGGGAAAGCAATGGAAGATTGCTGGCCCAAGTGCTTGAGCACTGCCAAGCGCATGAGAGACCCAAATGAAGCTCCTTGTTCCTGACTCCACCTGGCTCAGCCCTGGATGTTAGGGCCAGGTGGGAGTAAACCAACAGAAGATTTATTCTCTCTCTCTCTCTTTGTCTCTCTGCAACTATGACTTTCAAATAAATAACTCTTTAGGAAAAATTTAAGGCTTTAATAAGTTACTGACTCCCATTGTCTCATTCAAAAATCAATTGTCTTGCATTTTTCACTAAGTGAGGGGCAAGCACAGCTCAATGAAAATGAAGCAGCAGTTAGTGCCGTGTGCAAAGCCAGCACTTGCACGTATCCTTCTGCAGTTCTTAAAACGCGGACCAGGGACCCGCAGGGCACCTAGCAGTTCCCAACCACTCCCATTTTAATAACATGAGATCATTTGCCTTTTTCACTCTCATTCTTTTCATGGGTAAATTTTTCCAGAAGCTTTAGGACATTGTGACATGCACAAATACCAAAATCCAACTTCTGTCACAGCCACGCGTTAAAGATATTTACCAAAAAAAGAAGAGGGCGGGGATAACACCGCTCTTCTCACTTAGGGGTCAGGGTGGCAATTCTGGACAATATTGTTACTCTTAATTCTTGCAAATGTTTATGCTAACATGTAAAAGGATTATTATTTTTAAGTGAACAAATAGTTCTCAATCCTTCAACTTTAATGTGTATCAGGACAAATGTTGATAAATATAATTCACATGAAAAAAGTTTCTTGGAGACCTTCAGTAAAACCTCACATGAAAGGATTTAAACCTACAGTGCACATGCAGTGCTAGCTGACAGCAGTCAGCACTTAGAGGCTGCTCATGTCAGGAGCTGTGCAAAGTGCTTTGCATTCTGTATCTCTTCCCCCCGGGCGCACCCAGCTCAGGACCTCACAGCTGGATAGGAGGCAGTTAACCAGGTTTCTTCACATACACTCCGGATTAGCAGGCAATACTCCCAAAAGTTTGAAAAAGTATTTTTACTGCTCTGAATCTCAGTGTCCTTATCAAGCATTGGCAGAATCTGGAACCTAGCTGAGTTTCCTCAGCAGCAGAGCAGTTAATAGACACCCAAGTGCCTCACACACAGCCTGATGCAAGAACACAAGGCAGTGGAAACATACTTCTTTCCTTCCATTCCTTCCGCATCTTTGGGGTGAAGACAGACTGAGGAGGCTCACAACTCCCCTTTTTCCTCCAGGTGGTCTTCAGGCAGACAGAGAGGCTGATGCACCGGAAGGAGTTGATGAAGACATGATCGTGACCCAGAGTCAGACCAATTTCATCTGCCCCATTACACAGGTACTGGTTCACCTTTCCTCCCCTGCCAGAAAAGCAGTTATCTTCCCAGAGACAAAACTGGTTCCTGTAGGCTTTCTGATTGGATTTCGCATATTGAGTTAAGCAAAGAAAAGCGATGTGGGTTTAGAAATATATAGGAGAGGCCCTTAGTCTGGGAGGAGCCCTCCGTCAAGCATGCCCTTAAGGATCTAGGGAAAAGTTCATGGCCAAGTGACCTTGCTGCCCCTGGTTTCCCTGGTTTCCCTTATCATTTTTAAGCCTCTTAATTACCCAAGGCCTTGAGATTGGGAGGTTAAATTTAGGAAACCCAGGACCAGGGGAAAAGAGGTAGTGGAAATTGATCATTATCATTCCTGAAAGCCTAACATCTCCTTGATTACAGTTGGAAATGAAGAAGCCAGTGAAAAACAAAGTGTGTGGCCACACCTACGAAGAGGAAGCCATTGTTCGCATGATTGAGTCCAAGCACAAGCGCAAGAAAAAGGCCTGGTGAGCTGATGCAGGGAAGGAAGTGGGGCCTTTGTAGTGGTGGGCAGCCAGGGTTGGTGTGCCAAGGGTCATGCTAAAGGAGAAGTCCTTAGAGTCTGCCCTAGGTGGCATCTACCTCCCCAGTAGTGTAAACATGGAAGCTGGCTTTCTGGAAAAACAATACGGGAGGGAAAGATTAGTAATCTGTTCAGGAAAAGCCGAAGGAAATTAAGCCACACCTTCGAAACAGAAGAAAAAAAAATTGGACTGAAGGCTAATCATTAGCTAATAAGAGATTTATGAATGTGTGCAATTAAAAACGTAGCCTGGAGAAAATAAAGAAGAACTGGGAGATTAAAATTGTCCCTGTTTATACATACACTTCCCCAAACCAGAAGAAATGGTAAGTTGTTTTTGTCTTTTTTGTTTGTTTGTTTCCTTTTGCTTCCTGCAATACAGGTAACTGTAAGTCAATACTCTAAGAATTCACATCCGCTGTTCTTAAAGATAACCATTTAACTATAAGGGGATGCTTGTCACATATTTCATTACTTACATAATTTTGCAAAAGAATCCAACTCATGGGTAACTAACTAGTGAGGGTTCTGCAGACCCGGCCGTGTATTTTTTCCCTCCCCCCAGACCTCAGAGGACCATGGCTCTGATTCTGTGATAACAAGATTCTGAGCCAGCCAGACTAGCTCTAACTTGGACTCTGTTCGGCATTTTTCCTGTGCTTATCACAGGTTTGTCTTTGTCGCAGGAATGGAATGGCAGGTGTGACCAGGTCTCAAAAGCTTTTTGATAACAGTGCCTTTGATGTGTGGTTTGTGTCCCTATCGCCCAGAAATGTGCTGACCCAGACCGAGGACTGGAATTCCCCACCACTGCTTAGAAAGAGGGTGTTTGGACTGTGGATGTCATCATGGCCATTCACTCAAGAAATTTACCCTGCTGATTCCAGAAGAAAAACGACTTTTGCAGTCTCCTTGTTGCAAGATACAGACTATAATCATTCCTGGGTTTTTATCTGTTTTGAGTTTCTACCTCGTAGTTGAAATATCTCATTTTCCCTAGTGAGTCGGTCCTTTCCCTGTGATTATAATTTTTATGTCTGGATTTCCAGGCCTTCTTTCCTATGAACTTTGTTCTGTGTTCATTCTCTGAAATGCAAAAATGTTGTTAACCTACTTGCTAGGAATAAGAATTCCTAGGTAGTTTTGATTACTCTTTTTCTTAAAGTTTATGACATTCCCTTATAGTCAAATAAGGAAAGGACAGATGCTGACCCGGAGCACATTTCTCCCCAGCAGGCCCGGGATGAGTGTCAGGACTCCCAGAATAGGCATCTTGTCTAGTTGGATTCTCTTTACTTATTTGTTTTTATTTACGGAAAAGGCAGAAAAACAGAGAGAAATCATCTGTCCTCTGAATAATTCCCTAAACACCTGCAGCAGGTGGGACCAGGCCTCGTGACATCCAGGAGCCCAGAGCTCAGTGTGGGTCTCTGGCCTGGTGGACAGGGCTTCAACTCCATGATCTACATCCATTGCCTCCCGGGACACATTAGCAGGAAGCTGGAATTGGAAGCGGAGTGGGGACTCAAACCCAAGCATTTTGATAAATCATGACAGCATCCCACACAGCACCTTTGTAGCTGTGCCAGTTGCCCACCTGTGGATCTTAAGTACATGTTTTGACCTTCTGATTGTCCTTTGCCTTTCCTGAGTGGTACATGCTATTTACAAGCGCTTGAATTATCACTTAGAAAAGTTGTTTGTTTGTTTTTCTACCGTACTTCCATAATTGGAGTGGGTGAAACTCTGCAAATTCTCCAGACTCAGTAGTAATAATCATTCAATCTAAGTGAAGATAGTCTGGGAGGTTTTCAGACAAAGTGGTGGTTGTAGCTGGCTTCACAGAGTGGGAAGGATTTCAGAGACCATTGCGGAAGAAGGAGCCTGCGCCAGGAGCTCACCTCGTTGAGGCCCTTCTGCTTAGTTTACAGTGGAGAGAACTGTAGTGCTGTCTAGTAGAGGACGTTAAGAGGATGCTGTGGACAGTACAAATAGGGAAGTGGTGTAGAGATTCATGCTAGAGGCTGTTAAATATCACGATTTCAGAGTGTCCTCCCCTATGGGGGACCTTCAGAATGGGGATAAAGCTGCGTATCATGAAAACAGCCTTGCATGGATTTCAAGTATTTTTTCCACCACAATAAAGTTACATTTTAATTATGCTTTTCCATGAACTTTTTTTTTTAAAGATTCATTGCTTTTTTATGAGAAAGGCAAATTTACAAAGAGAAGGAGAAACAGAGAGAAAGCTCCTCTGTGCCCTAGTTCATTTTCAAATGGCCACAACAGCCAAAGCTGAACCAGTCTGAAGCCAGGAAACAGGAGCTTCTTCCACACCTCCCACATGGGTGCAGGTCCCAAGGCTTTGGGCCATCCTCTGCTGTTTTCCCAGGTCCAGGCAGGGAGCTACATGGGAAGTAGAGCAGCCGGGACATGATACGGGATACTGGCCCTTGAAGGTGGAGTATTAGCTTGTTGAGCCACAGCACCAGCCCCTTTTGTATGAAGATTTTGAAGTACCTTCATCTAAGTTGATGGTAATAGTTGTCATTACTTTCAAGATTTATTTGAAATTTAAATAAGTGTGAAGTACTTCAGATACTTGGCACACAGTAAGATTTAGTAGACATTATCCCAACATCCCAAACTTTTGCCCTCCACATCATCTTCCTCACCATTCTTTCCACCACTACTCTGTGGGTATGGGAGGTGTTGCAAGGCTTTTAAGGAGTGAGGAGCGCCAACCTGGAGTTGATGTTACTCCTGTAGCAATGCAAGGGATGGATTAAAAAGGCATGAGGTAGAATGGTGCCATGGCATAGTGGATAAAGCTGCCCATTATAGTGCCAGCATCCCACAAAGATGCTGGTTTGAATCCTGACTGCTCTACTTCTGATACAATTCCCTGCTAATGTAATTGGAACAGCAATGGAAGATGATCCAACTCCATGGCCCCTGCAGTGCATGGGAAACCTAGATGAAGCTCCCAGCTCCTCACTTCTCTCTGACCCAACCCTGGCTATTGCGGCCATGTGGGAAGTGAACCAATAGATGGAAGATTTTTATTCTCTCTCTCTCTCTTTCAAATAAATAAATAAATAAGGAAGGAAGGAAGGAAGGAAGGGAGGGAGGGAGGGAGGGAGGGAGGAAGGAAGGAAGGAAGGAAGGAAGGAAGGAAGGAAGGAAGGAAGGAAGGAAGGAAGGAAGAGGAAAGCAGAGAGCTCTCTCTCATCTGCTCTTTTACTCCCCAAATGCCCACAGCTGGGGCCGGGCAAGGCCAAAGTCAAGAAATGCATTGTGAGGGATAGGGATCCAGTCACCTGAGCCATCAGCTGCTACCTTGTCAGTGCACATTGTCTAAAAGCTGGAATCTGAAGTGGCTTCAAACCCAGACACTCCAAGATAGACTGCAGATGCTGCAGTCAGGAACTTCCCTGCTATGCCAAATGCCCACCCCACTCCAGAATTCCCCACGTAGTGTGGACTGGTGCCATTTCCTGCAGTGCATGCTGAGGTGGTGAGCAGTCCTGGGTTTCTTTTGTTTAACAAGATCTGTGACACATCCAGTTTGAGACATCTCATTTCTTCCTCCTAGAATGTTCTAAATATGTTTTGTCAGACTGGAGTTCCAGGTACATGGTGTGACTGGGCTGTCTGAATTTTCCCGTGCATGATCAGTAACTGAGAAGGCCTCTGTCCACTGGCTTGAGTCACAATAGTATTGTTGAGAAGTTAATCCTAGCCAGCCACAGTATTAGAATGATTTTGTAAAATATGTCTCTTAGTAAAAAGACTATAATGTTAGAAATAAAGTTGCCTTGCAGTTTTCATAGTAATAAGATTCCTACTTTTATCACAGTATTTTCTTTCCTGACATTTTATCTAAGAACATGAACTATGGGGCAGGAGTTGGGCATAGCACTTAAGTCTCCACCTGGGACAGCTACACGTAGTGTTGGAGTGTCTTGTTCAAGTCCCACTCCTGTGGTGCCAGTGCAGTCCCTGCCACCCATGTGGGAGAGCTGGGTGGAGGTCTAGACTCCTGACTTTGGCCTACTGCAAACATTTGGGGATTTAACCAGCAGATGCAAAATACCTGTGTGTGTCTTTGTCTATCTCTCTCTGCCTTTCAGATAAAATGAAAAAAAAAAAAAACCATATTTGACAGCATGCTTCAGAGCAGGGAAAGTGAAATCACATTGAGTAGCAATGTGTTGTCCAACAGCAGAGAATTCCAGTAGAGCTGTGCTGTTGAGTTCCTGTTTCACCATTTACAAACAAATCTTTGAAAGTGCCTGTCTCAGTTTCTTCTATAACAGAGAAATAATAGCATCCTCTCCAGGTGGTAGAGAATTCCCCTCTGGGTCTGGACCAGTAGACACCTGGCAGCGGAGCAGAGAGGGACTTGGGAGAAAGCACCTTTCAGGGGGAGCCAGCCGTTGAGCCAGCAGCTGGAGGGAGGGCCCTTCTGGGAGGCTGTTAGAGGCGTTGCTGCTGCCCTTGCTGCTTCCGGACTCAGCCAGAGCAGGACGGAGTTCCTCTCTGTGTTTAGGTATGATGGGACTCCATCCCACTGGGATGCACGGAGACATTCATAGCCCTGTTTTCTGGAACTTGTGGACTGATCCTTGAATCCACAAACTTCTGGACTCAGAATCTGTCTCCTTGAGCCGGTGCTAAGGCCTAGGTTCACCACAGCTTGCTGCCCACTGCCCCACCAAGACCCAATGCAGTTTGTTCAGCAGCTGCCTCTGTGCTTGTCCCAAGCCACCAGGGAGTGCTCTGCCCTGCCAGTGACCCTGATCTGAGACCCCGCCTCTCCTTCCAGGCCTGTGGGTCTGACTGCTGCACAGCGGGGTGACTCTGTGAGAGCTGAGGATGGGTGGTGCCACACCTAACCTGCTCACCAGGATGTCGCGGGGATTAAGGCCTAATCCTGCCATACAGTGGTGTCTCGACCAAGGTGTGCCCTGATTCAGGACCCTGGCATGGTGGCCTCTTCTTGTCCTTTTGAGTTTAGAAACTCATGAATGGTTGTTCAAGGCAGAGTGAGAAATGAATTTTCCCCAGGCTCCTGCATCCTCCTCTTCTCTCAGAAGCCTTCCCTGACCTTCTCCAAGGCCGGCCAATGCTGCAAGCATCCCCACAGCATGCTGACCTTGTCCATGGGACTGGATCTCCCCCACACACTTCCTGGGAGCCTGCGTGTGGTTGCCCGGCAGACCCTGAACCAAGCTGCTTGGCTCTGGCCACCATGGGCCTCCTGCCTTTCCTAGTGGCCCAGTACACTACCTTCATCTCTTCAGAGGGAAAAACCAAGGCCCAGAGAATTAAACCCCATGCCCAGGGTGCCACAGCCCTTTCTCACTCTCCCACATGGAGGCTTGTCAGAGAATGCAGGTGTCTGACAGGATCACCCCAGGCTCCATCCCGGGGAAGTGTCTCGCACTGGGCTGTGTGCTTCACTCCATCACACATCCTCAGAATGTGCTCGGGGACTGACTGAAACCACTGATGTCACCAGGAAGTCCTCCCCACCCCATTCTCCACTTCCCTGTCCCCTGCTTATTCACTGTCTGGCTGTGGGAATTCAAGAAGTGGGGAGGGGGTGGGGGGAGGGGAGGGAGGTATGGCAGTGAGAAGTGCAGGTAGTGAGGGGTGCGGGAGGTAGTTGGCTCAGCCACTTGCTTGGGCTAGCTTCTTCATGTCATGGACTCTAAAAGGATGACTGCCTCTTCTTCTTTTTTTCTTTTCTTTAGAAATGTACATGTGTATTGTATTATGTATTTGAAAAGCAGTTTCAGAGAAAGGGAGAGACAAAGAGATCCACATCCCCGGTTCACTCCCAGTGGTCACAGTGGCCAGAGCTGGACCAGGCCAAAGCCAGGAGCCCAGAACTCCATTCCACTGCCTTCGCAGGCACACAAGCAGGAAGCTGGCTCAGAAGTGGAGCAGCCAGCACTAGAACCAGTGCTCATATCAAATAGGAATGCTGCAGGCGGCAGCTCGCCCTCTGCGCTGCACCACCAGCTCCCCACATGGCCTTTCGAAGCCTTGGAAAGATCCATATCCTCTCCATCCTGTGTTTCTTTTCATACCTAAAGAAATAATTAATTTTGAGGCTTCAGAATGTAGATGAACAGGCTAAATAAAAATAGACATTTTCAAGCCAACATAGAACATTTCTGCAGTTTTACCGTAATTAATGCAAGGACACATCATCAAAATTATTCCTACCTGAGCCAAATGACTCTGGTTCGGTAATTATGATTTGACACATTACCTGACTATATAAGGTACATTTTTATATCTTAAAAGTAAAGAAATGTTATCAAGCACATTTGCGTTACATCACAGTCAGTGTCCACCCTCTTGTGCAAAGACTCCTTGCTCCAGGGACAATGCATTGTGGCACAGCAGATTAAACCTTGCTTGTCACACCAAACCCCTGAAGAGCACCTGCCATCGCGCGAGAAGCCCAGATAAGGCTTTTGGCTCTGACTTGTGCCTGACCCAGCCCCTACCATGGTGACCACTTGGAGAGTCAACTCTGCTTCTGTCTCTCCCTCACACTCTGTAACTCTGCCTTTCAAATAAATCAATCTTTAAAAGATTCTTCACCAGGGATCAGGGCCAAGAAAAATGTTCTTTTCCATGCCCAACTGTAGGCTTTCCTACCACCAGACCAATTGGAGCCCCAGCGATCCACTTTCCTCCCCTGTGAGTTTATAACTTTTGTCTGGTATTGGTTGGTTTTGATCTTAATATGTGTGAACTTTTAGACAAAGTGTCTCAGATCACTGGGTCTGAGCTCTGTGTGGCAGGAACAATATGTTTGTGTGTCATAGTCATGTGTTCAGAACCTAGCCCGCAGCCAGTCGCACAGGATGAAATGGGTACATGAATGGGTAGAGGGTGTGTTGGAGATAAATGAAATACACATAAGTCCAGAACATGAAAACGTCTGGGCAGAGCTATGGTCAGACAATAGGACGCAGGAAAGGGAATGGACGTGACCAAGCACTCTCCTCACTTTAAGTCAGGGGACAGAAGCAAAAAGAGCAGCATGAGTCGCCTAAGGTCTCAGCCAGCAGCAAGTGGGTGGTAAAGTGAGAGAATTCAGATCTAGGTCACACTGGCTGCTTGGCTCTAGCAAAATCTGGTTCACATTGAGAAGAAATCAGGTGACTTCATCCAGCCCACTGCCTTCCGAGGAGACCACATCTAAACCGAAGCTGGCTTGTAGTTCCACCCGTTTCTGAGTGACTCACTCGCTGATTTCCTCAGCCACAGCCTTTCCTCTGAGTCCCCAGCTGCCCACTCAGGCCCTGGGCTACAAGGTCCAGTGGGCATTGTGAAGAGAGCAGCACAGGAACCTGCTGCTCCCCGTGACACCCACCTCAGGAAGGCACCCTAGTCACCCGTTGGCTTGCCCCTCCCCCTCCTCTACATGTCCCCTCTGCTCCCTGGCGGCTCCTGCCTGCACCTACAGCCAGGCTGCCCTCCTCTCCTCTGGAACCTGCAGAACACCCCCCCCCCCATCCACACATCCTGCTGCCCCTTGCCTGTTGACCATGTGCTGTCCATTGGTCAGCCGAAGTGACGTGTGCCCCATGTGGACCAAATCAACCTCCGGATCTGAGAGCCCTCTGATGACTTCTCTTGAAATTTTCAGTGAAACCCAAAGCCCCACTCACCCTTCTTGTTTGATTCTCCACAGCCTTAGGGCCTGGGTCTGCACTCCACCACACCACACCGACCTCCCCTGCTTTATCCCCCACTGTTGCTCAGCCTAACCCCAGATGGTCTTGGCACCCCACACTCCCCTCACTGCTCTGCCCGACGGTCCCCCCTGTGAGGCCTGTCTGACTTGGCCCCCAGCACTCTCCCCCACTGGCGTCGCTCTGTTGCCTCTAATGGAAATGTGGCCCAAATGCCTGTTAAGCTCCTTAGTGGTTGCCTGTGTCCCTCATAGGGAAGTAGCCCCGGGAAGCAGACATGCTGTGCATTGCTTGTGTCCCTGGACAGGGCCTGGCTCAGGTAGACGTTTAGAAAATAAAAAGGAGTGTGTACATCCCTCCTGATTTATAATACGTACTCCCTTTTCATCTCTTCTTATTTGTTTTAAAACATGTGTTTATTTGAAAGGCACAGTTACCATGAGCAACTCACCTATTAGAGAGAGACAGAGATCTTTGATCCACTGGTTCCTTCTCTAGATGGCACATTGTCAGGGTTGGACTGTGCAAAGCCAAGAGCCAGGAGCTACTTTTGGGTCTCCCAGATGGGTGCCCAGGAGTGCCATCCTCTGCTGTGTTCCCAGAGCATTGACTGGACGTGGATGGGAAATGAAGCAAGCCAGCTCCACATGGGATGCTGGCCATTGAGAGAGACAACTTAACCCACTGTGCCACAATACTGGCCCCCTTTTCCTTTTTAAATACTTGAATTTGAAATGAGTTATATGCTTAAGACATTAAAATTAAGAGAACTGGGAGTGGTGTTTAGCCTAGCATTTAAGATCCCCACAGCCAAGTACCTGCATCCGAGTTCCAGCACAAGGTCCTGTCTGCAGCTTCCTGCAAGCGCAGACCCAGAGAGGCAATGGTGACAGCTCAAGCTGTGGGTCCTGTCACCCACTTGGATTGAGTTCCCGGCTCCTGGCTTCAACCCCAGTCCAACACCTGCCATCATGGACATTTACAGAGTCAATCAGAGAATGGGATTTTTTTCCTTGAATCTGGCTCTCTGCCTCTCAGTAAACCAATGAATAACTCAATATGTTTTAAAAACAGAGAAAAGTAAATGGACTGACTGATTTTCCTTCTCCCTCACAGTTGCCCTAAGATTGGCTGTAGCCACACGGATATGAGAATGTCGGATCTCATCCAGGATGAAGCCCTCCGAAGGGCAATTGAAAACCACAACAAGAAGAGGCACCGCCATTCCGAGTAGGACAGTGCCTCGGCCCACAGGGAGTTCAGCAGCCTTGCTCCTACCTAAGCCTCCTGCTCAGGGTGATGCATGTCGGAGCAGTCAGGGATTGGCTGCACTGCATAGTCTGTTAGGGGTCAAGCTTGGTTTTGTGATTGAAAGCAATTCTTTTAAGTTCCTCAATAAACATGCAAGCACATTATGTATTGTCTATTTTCAGATGCTAGGTAATTTTGCATTAAACCTCGATTATCTGCAGCGGATCCCACCAGGAACCTCCTGGTGCACACACCTTGTTCCAGAGTATCAGCCTTGTCTAACACTTCAGAATGGGTTTTTATCATTGTTACTGAATATCTTTCAGGTAATGTTTGAAATGAAAATGTGTGTTGCATTTCTGTCACTGCAGTGAATTCAGGCCTTAGGTTATAAAGCACCACCAATTTCCTTTCCTATAATGATTTTGTGTTAGGGAGGGGAGGGGCACTTTGGCTTATCATTCTAAATGGCATGGGATCCTCTTTCCCACGCAATGAGACTCTGCCACCCGGAATGGAAACCAAGGTGCCGCCCGCACAGGGCCTTACGTGTCATCGGAAGCCACCACATCCTGGTTGCACGACAGCTCTCTACAGATGACTCAGCCCCCTGGGTCTTTGGTGTCTTCAGCCATAAAGTAAAGATGCAGCACAAGAAGCTGTCTGATGTCACGCAGGCGTGAGAATCACCAGCCTCTAGCCGGCATGGTCTGGAAACTGAAGCTCTTCCTTTATTTTCTAAGTGTGCCAACAATGCTGACCTGTGGATTCCCAGAGCAACACTTAGCAATCAGACTGTGTAAATAAACCACAAGAAGCTCACCCTGACTCTGCTGGGAAGCCACCAAGAGCTAACGATGGCTAACAGCAAATGTTGAGCATTTACTGTCTCCTTGGTGCTATTCCAAATGATCTCTGTTCACGTTAATGCTTGCCATCTTCACAGCTGGTGAGAGAAGGGTAGATATTAGTCCCACTTTACACCTCAGAAAACAGGTCCCAGAGCAGCGAAGCAGCCCCTGGGATGTCGCAGTGCTCTGAAGTGGCTGGGCCGGGACTGGAACTTGGCTGGCCTGGTCCCAGGATCTTGATTCAAAGATCCTGTCCTCCTTCCCCATGCTGATTTATTTGGAATCTGAAAGTATATTCAAAGCTCACATTTAAAAAACAGAGCTTTTGTAAAGGAATACATGTGTCTGTGCACACAAAAAACGAAACTAACTAAAATATGAGAAATAGCTAGCTGGATGTGACATCTCCGTCACAATAAATGTCACAACATGACAACATCGGTTTGGGTTGATAGTCTGGAGGCTGGGGTTGGATGCAGTAGTCAAGTCGCCACTCGGGATGCATCCCTCTCTTCCCGGAGTGCCTCCGTTAGTCATGACTCTGCTCCCAATGCCAGCTTCCTGCTGGTGCACACCATGGGAGGCCACAGGCGATGGCACCAGTACAAGGGTGCCTGCCACCTCCATGAGCTGCAGGTGGAGCTCTGGGCTCCCAGCTTCAGCCAGGCCCAGCCCAGGTTGCTGCAAGCATTTGGAGAGTGAACCACAAGATGGAAAATCTCTCTGTATCTCTCTCTGGAGAAATTGAAAAACCCCAGTCTTGTGTGGCCAGATTAATTTTGAGAATATTTTTTTTTTCTGGAATTCAGAAACTAGTATGGCATTCAGTTGTCTGCAAACTAAATGATGTTGACCTTCCTAAGATGTGTCTGAATCAGGCTTTCCTGAGGAAATGATTACATTACAGCCAGAACAAACATACTTTTCGTGGAATGTGGTTCTTTTGTGAAGCACTCTGTTTCCTAAACAGACAAGGACAAGCACGAGATGCTTGCTTAAGATTTGATTTACATTTTTCCCCCATTTTTTGTAAAGAGAATTCTGGAATATTACTGGGGATACCAATACTGGTTAGAAAAATACAACAAAATAGCACAGTGAAAAATATGGTATTTGTAGCTCATGAAATTTTTCCCTCTTTAGCCTTCAAAAGCTGTGTTTTCCAAAGAATTTTTGAGACCCTATGTGAAATTTACTTTCATGTTTGAAGGTTTGTGTATCTGTTTATCGATCTGGCACGTCCATTAAATTTCTGTTACAGGACTTTTCAATACCCATGGACCGTTTTCTCCATGAAATCATTGTTACATTATAGGAATTTCAGCACATGTGGATAAGACTAATTCTAGGGCAGCACCTCCAAGGTGAAGCCAGGAGCCCCTTCTCCATTTTCCCAGAAGAGCTCCAGAATCCTGAGGTCACTCCCAAAGTCCCATATGGAAGGTGACTAATTTCTTTTAGCTAAGATTTGAACAACTATGTGCATTTGGTACTTTAAAAAAAAAATACTAATTCTTTCAAGAAATGTTCAGCCTACAAACATTGAAAACATGACCACATACTCCCAAAGGTAAAATGGTCTCACTCTGTCCTTTTCTAGAATTTCAAACATGAGGATTTCCAGCTGAAAACAGACCTGTGTGGAGTGTATTCCCAGTGGCTTCTGCCCACCACCGCCCGCCACCAACATGGACAACCATGAATTGCAGGACTGAGGGACCAAAGCCAGGGAGCTGAGTGCCGGCCAAGCCCAAGGCTCAGGTCTCACTAACCTAATCCTCTCAACAAACCTGGGGAGTGAGTGTTATTTCCCTATTTTACAAATGAGGAGGCTGAGCTTGGATTCATTGGTTCCTGTGCCTAGGGTTCATGCTTCCATGTAGCCTATCCTGGAGCAGAATAAGTACACAGGAAGTATTCCAACCCACAAGGCCCTTTGCCTCAGGGTCAGAGTTGGGCTTCCCCAGGGGCCTGTGTTTCTCTCCTGTCTTCCCTAGTGCTGTCATTGAGACCATGATTTCCCAAGGCTGCAGACTCCAGGCAGCCACATGTGGCTGGAGAATTCCCCCTTCCGAGGTCTCTACACAAACACTGCCCCAAACCTGAACCTCCCCTCTTGACTTCACACTTACTCTCCACCAACCCATCCAAATCATTTCCTGCCTCCTGCTGTATTAACGTGCCCCTAAGCCTGTCTGTCCTGCTAAATGAAATCACCACCACAGGCCGGAGCCTCTCCAAACTTCCCAACATGCTTATTCCCACCACCCTTCCAAGCTCCCCTTCTTTCTCTTCCAGAGGGGAGCTAACTCTAGATGGTCTAACTAGCTGTCACCCATGGGTGGCTGTGGACAAGCCATTTCACTGCTCTCATCCTCAGATTGTCCATTGGAACAAAAAGATTTGAGTTTCTCCCTGTGGTTTCTTTCAAAGCTCTCAGACTGTGTGTCATATTTGTAGTGAATATGTCCCATGGGAAGTATAAGACCCTTTAGGAGGCAAGCAGGCAGAAATGGAAATTAATACATATGGGAACCAAGTCTGTATATTGAATCTTTAATGAGTTCAACAAAAACTGCCAAGTCTGGCTTTATGCTGTTTGATGCTCATCAGTTGCGGACACAAATGTTCCCTTCGGAAGGGAGTGTCCAGTAGACACTTTCATGTCGATGTTAAAGTCCATAAAAGATTTTGTGAGTGCCCCGCACAGAGGACAATAGCACAAAGAAAACAAAATATGGGAAAATTTTTGAGTCAACAAAACTTAATTTCCGTAAATCAGGCAACAGACTCAAAAGAGTGGCATGGGTGACTCCTATGGTCACCTGGTTCCACGGGATTCCGCTGTGTCCGAGACGTGTGCCTGCTGGCTCGTGGAGACACTGGGGCACCAAGAGCTCTGCAAGAGAAGGCGAGTGATGCTGAGGGAAACAGAAGCCCTTGTACATTGCTAGGGAAAATCCAAATTGATGCAACCTTTGGCTATTAAAAACAAAGTTGAAAGTAAACCTACCAGACAGCGTACTAATTCCATCAGAAGTAAAAATACATTTTCATGCAAAGATTGTGTGGAAATATTCATAACCATGACTTACAATAGCAAAAGAATGAAAATATCCAACTTGTGATTGGATAAAGCACTATAAATCCATACAATGCAGTACTATTGCCAAGAAAAAGGACCAGAACACTTAGTTCTTCACTGTGTTTGTATGTGTGCATTGAAAAAACTTAAGCTCTGCTCTCTCATCAAATTTTAAGCATCCTTTATTAACCATTGTCCCCACGCTACATACAAGGTCTCCAGAAATCACTCAATTTTCACTTAACTGAAAGTCTATCATTTAACCAACAACTCCCCGCTTCCCCTCCCATTGACCCTGGTAACTGCACATGAGTGTATGTGTGAGAGAGAATTCTTTAGGGAAGCTGAGAAAAAGCTTATATCCACTGGTTTACTTCCCAGATACCCACAAAAGCCAAGGGACCCAAGCTGAGAGCCAGAAACTCAACCACATGGGTGGTTCCAGAAAAGACAAATCTATAGGACAGAAGTAACCGGGGGCTAGCGGCGGTTTGGGGGAACAGTGTGCGAGGGCTCACTTTGGGCTGAGAGCAATGTCCTAAAACTGGATGGGGTAATAGTTGCACAACTATAAATTATCTAAGACCCATTCTATGCAGCACTTGAAGCAGGTGAATTTTAGGCCGTGCAAGTGAAAGGCCGACTGAAGGCACGTGGTCATCCAGGGCCTTGACGGGAGGGCTTTCCTCGTGGCCATCTGAGAACATCAGGAACCCCAAGAGCTATTGGTGCCCCGCATTCAGCTGAGACCAATCTCTAAGAATGTTTTTGTTTTAAAGCTTGTTTCATTTGTTCAGACAGCAGAGTGACAGAGAGAGGGAGAGACAGAGAGAACTGCCATCCACAGTCTCATGCTCCTAATGGCTGTCGTAGGCAGGGCAGGACCGGGCCAGAGTGAAACCAGGAACTCCATTCAGGTCCCCATGTGAGTGGCAGGGGCCCTGATGTAGGTGAGCCGTCATCTACTGCCTTCCCAGGCATGATAGCAGGAAGCTGGATTAGGAGTGGAGCAGCCAAGACTTGAACTTGCACCCATAGGCAGCATCACAAGGGGCAGATTATTTAAGCCTCAAGAAATCCAGGTCTTAAAAAGCAATTACTAGGGCCCGGCGCGGTGGCGCAAGTGGTTAAAGGTCCTCGCCTTGCACGCCCGGGATCCCATATGGGCGCCGGTTCTAATCCCGGCAGCCCCGCTTCCCTTCCAGCTCCCTGCCTGTGGCCTGGGAAAGCAGTCGAGGACGGCCCAAAGCTTTGGGACCCTGCACCCATGTGGGAGACCCGGAAGAGGCTCCTGGCTTCGGATCGGCATAGCATCGGCCCGTTGCGCTCACTTGGGGAGTGAATCATCGGACGGAAGATCTTCCTCTCTGTCTCTCCTCTCTGTATATCTGCCTTTCCAATGAAAAAATAATAAAAATAAATCTTTAAAAAAAAAAAAAGCAATTACTAGAAAACCTATAAACAGTGCTAAAGAGGATATGATTAACTATTTGGCATAACTGATAAAAATAAAGAACTTTAATTTTTTTCTATTTTTTAATTCTTCACTGAATTTCCGTTTTATGTGCAATAATCACCAGTAATAATCAGTAGCTCCAATGAGCTCTCTTTTAAAAATGAGCTGATTTTTGCAAAGCATGGTAGAGTGAAA